TCAAGAATGTAGTAGCACCAGAACTGGTTGTCTGATACCAATGTTTGATCATAATTACGATAATTTGTAGTTCGTCGATTATATATTGTTTGGCTACATTATTTAAAGGACGGTTATGTTGTATTGAGGCAGTCGCTGACATTGCAAAGGTACGAAAGTTGTGAAAAAGATCAGAGCAACTGTCTTCAAGCTTCTCATTTTTAAAAGAATCTTTTCAAAAACTATTTTCGTATCGTTGAATTGTTTTTTGAAAAAGCAAAAAATTATTTACAACAATTTTTTGTCAAATTATTTCGAACTATGGAAATGATGAGACTTTCGCTCATCCGGCCCAGCAGCGGTGGATATCAAAATGAAATTCGACTCAGGTCGAATAGGTATAAAAATAAATACATTTTCATTCCTTTTAAATGAAAATCCGTAGAGGAAAACCACAACAAAACGAAGAATAAAAAAAAAGAAGAAAAGCAAAACTCATATAAAGCAAATCGTATGTAAAACCAAAAATAAAAGTTAATTTTCTTAATGCAATAAAATCGAGACCGTTTATCTACTATTATATAATATGTATAATAGGTTGTTATATTATTTTAATTTTCCAATTTGCTGTTAGTTTGTTTGCGTTTTTATGGTTTCCTTTGATTCTCTTTTTCATTATTCATCACGATAAACCACGTACAAGTTGGAAGTAATATTTGAACTTAGGGAGAAACAATATAACAGAAAATACTCTATTAGCAACAACAACAAGAGCAAGAACGAATTGTCCATATCACAATTTGCATATATGTATACTTGGAAGAAAATATCATTTAATTAATTATTATTGTTATAAGTAAAAAACAACAAAAAAAAAAAAAAACAAAAAGAAAGGAGCAAAACAACAAATTTAACAAGATTTTTTTTTTTTTTCAAATATATGAGAACATAAAATCAAGTTTTTAAAATCTTATTATTTTTTTGGAGTATCAGGTATCAGAGTCATTTAAACACACGTGGTAACATAATTCATCAAATTATTCAAGCAACGGCTGCAATCAAAGTAATTGTCATGACAGGTTTAGGTTAGTTGAAGAGTTATTTTAAACTTGAGGGATTAAGAAAAAACTCGCTCTTAGTTTGGTTACTTTTTATTCATAGTTCACCGGTATGTTGTTTGCTGGTGTTTATGGAACTGCGATGAAGTTTTCTAGCTTTCTTTCTTTTTCATCCCGGAATAATTTTCAGAGCTATTTGTAGAGGTTCAAGCAAAAATCAACGAATATTAATAGCAGCAGGTATCCTATCTAAACGCTGAGTCGTAAAAATGCGTAAGGATAGGCAATAACTGCTCCCAATAAAACCATAAAAATGAGAACGTTTACTAAACTCTGGCATGCAAACCTTCTATAAGCAAAGTTTTCGACAAAAAAATCCTTTCAAAAGTATGCAAAATATGCATATTTGTACCTACGTACATGGTTATACGTATAGGTTATGTTAGTGTACACACAATTTTCTATCCTGCACTAAAATCACTCACTTTTTGATTAATATAAAGCTCAATAATTATCGTCCTACAGATGATGACCAACGTATTCGCATAACACTTCAATTTATTTATATCTATTTAGTTTGAGTTTTACTAAATATTTATTATTAACATCCACATACAACCACAAAATAATCTGAATCCTATGCAATATAGAACCATCTTGTTGATTGCTGCCAACATTGGTTGCGTGTAAATAATGCGGCACGTATGTATTGCGCAGGTTATGTCCAAGTCTTGTAGGTGATGTTTCGGTGTATTTGTGCTGCGACGCTTAAAACAAGCGGTCGACGAAAGCTGCTTATCTCTTAGATTTCGAAAGACGGCAAATTGTAGCTGCTCTGTTAGCGAGAGCGTCTGTAACGAAAACAACTGAACTGTTCGACGCTTGAGAAGCGACATTATCGCCGATAATGACAGCATCCACCAAATGTGATTAAATCTCATCGGCGAAGAGGAATATAAGAAAAACCCTAAAGACAACTGACAAAGACTTATGAACATTACAAAGGATGAGGACAGCCAACATAAAACGCAGGCTAGGAAGGTAGTGTTCATGAATGGGCTGCAAATTGCGAAAGTTGCGTAAAAAATGATGCTACAAACATAAAACTTGGACATTTGATGATTGAGGAGATTTGGTATAGTCCGATGAATCATTGTTCACATTGTGGCGTGAAAACGTCCGAAGTTTATGTACGGAGAGCTGTAAAACACGCCTGCGATTCGGGCTGCATGCAGTGAAGCCTGGGGGAAGTTCGCTGATGATTTTTGTGGTTGTATGGCGGCTGTAATAGTATTCAGCTAGTCCTTTCTTTTAGGTCACTGGCGACATTACTGCGAACGAATGTCTCGACATTCTCAGTTCTTACTATGGTTAGCCTGGCTGTCAAACACAGCCATATTCCAAAACGATAATGCTCGCATACGCACCCCCGAAAAGTTGCAGCCTCGGTTTGAGGTGCGTCAGAATATCATGAAATGTCTTTCGTAGCTAGCATATTGTGGTACACGAATGGTACAACATACTATTGGAAACTATTCGGAAATTCCACGAAAAATTGCAGCCTTTTTACAAAGAAATGCATACATTTTGTATATGTCACTTGTCAACATCATTTTGTTCATCCTGTGGATAACTAAATAAAATACAAATCCAAAAATTATTTTTTATTTCTTTTTGATGGAAAAGTATCTATAGTTGCATATGTTTTAAGCGAAGACGAGAAGAATTGCTGGAACTTGCTTTATATGTGAAGACACACTGAAAGCGTAGATTGCCACAGTACACTTACACTTTAAACTAATTAGACTAAAAGACTATCAGGAATGAATATATGATTTCCTATTTTCAGTACAGAAAATATAAGTTCATTGTATGAAAATAATAAATAAAGAGATTTTATCCAAAGTGTTATCCATCGTTAACGCTACTCATTTTTCCAACCTGCCGTGCCAAAAAAACTATTGTCCTCTTGAGACAAATCAATCATCGACCCATTGATAAATAAATTGCGTGGTTTCACATTCTTAAGTTGAGTAATTTCGCTATTGTGTCGTTAGTCGGGTAAGCTGCGCAGATGGAAGAACGAATGTAATGTCTAGATGTTTAGAGGTTTTGTTGCGAACGGTTTAGGTAGCAGGTCTTCTGTGTACACAAATCGCACCTATTTCTTCAACATCACACCTTATTCCATCGATCATGGAATGTTTGTGCTAAATTTTAGCGATCCACCTTGATTTTTGCAACTGTGGCATGTTGGCAATAAACAAGGAATCAAAGCGACCCCTTTTGATAGCTGTAGATATATGTCATCGACATCTCGAAAACTAGGCTAGGTAGGAACAAAATGATCACAGGTTTTTAAAGGTCTTGTTACGTAATTAAAAGTCATCAAGAACATACTTTATAACCCTTTGTTTTAAGATCCAAAAATTAAAATAGGGCAAAATGACGTACGCGGTAGTTCTAGTGTTAACACATAAAAAGTATTTTGTAATTCTTATTTAGCGAAGACAACACCCTTTGAAAAGTTTCCAAACTTTGGGAAAATTTTGGAAAATTTGGGAAATTGTTGCTCGAATTTAGTTCAAACGTCTGTAGACGAAAGAGAATCGCTATTAACATTGAATTCAGTAGTCAATGTTGTTTTACATAAAAAGAAATGCAAAGAAATTTGACATTTGTGATTTGAAGTCGCGACAATTGAGTTGTTAATCGCGATCCTTTGCCTACTCGGCTACTCATTCGGATAAAAAGATTCATAAAAGTCTTACTCACGTAACACCCTTAGACCACTTATGTACATACGTTTTTTCGCCCATCCATTAGTTCAACGCATTGGAACCTTTTAAAGAGGCGATAATTAAGATAAAAATTTTTTTGATTTTGTCTTGGCAGACCAAATAAAATGTTGCATAGGAAATGCTTACGAAAACCATGTTGTCAATAACTCCCTTTCTGCCGCAGATATAGAATTCAAAATTTCGTTTATATTTGTTGCGTGATATGAATAGCTGACGCTCCGATACTTAACAGGACACTTTGTAAATTTTGGTATAATGATTGCAGATAGTAAATATCTAACCAGTTTTTTTATCCCATTATGCAGAAAGTATATTAAATTTGCCAAATATTAATAATGCCTAGAAATATGCAACGCTAACGCAATAAGCTAGCGGCCAACGTAAATACCGGCTTAGCTATATTTTTACGTTACTGTCTGGATTCCTCAAACATTTTCCGGTCATTTTATTTTCATCAAATTTATAGTTTATAGGTGAGAATGGTATTATTTTGTTTCCATTTTCTAATCTAAGTGCATCTTGGCAAATAACGAATGTGATAAACTATTCACAATTTTTATTATATTATAATACTCGATGCTTATAAACGTAAAGCTCAAATTAATATACCTCCAATTGGTGAAAGTGAGCACAAAAACGATACACAACAAAAATAGGCTTTTGTTTACATTTACGAGAACAATTTTTTTTTCTCTTTCTTAAATACATACGCTTTGCAAACGTTTCAATTCCAGTAGTACAGCTGATGCGAAAGATAAGCAACTCCGGCGCAGCTATTGATTTTGATAATAGACGGTACCTTATGTTTAAAAAAAAAAAAAAAAAAAAAAAACGCAAGAAACGAAACAGCTTGCACTCGCATAGTGAAAGCACACGCAGACGTAAGTTTTAAGTGCATAATATGAGCTTGTAGAAAGAACACGCAATCAAACCAAAAATAAAAAAAATAAAAATATAACAAAAAAGAGTGTATAAAAATTTGAAAAATAAAAACAAGCGAATATGTAATAGAAAGGGATTCGGTAAAAATTAAAACGGAATAACAAATTAAAATAATATAAAAAAAAAAAAAAAAATGAAAAAAATACAATATTTACTAAGCATATAAAATCATATATGCTATATATATATATATATATATATATATATAAATATATATATATACTTATATGCATATTACTGCATATATATGCATGTATTCGTTTGTTTGTGTATTGAAATATATATGAATAAATTCATCAAATATTACATCGAATAATTAGAAAACATTTAAATTTCTAGACTGCTTGCTGCCAACCCTTCGAACTGATATCTGACTAAAGTTTCTACTTAATCAATATGGAGATAAATTTTTCAATATTAATTTTATTAAGTTTTATATTTATGGCAATGGGAGCAGTTTTAATGTTGCTATTACAATATTATGTGTATGTAAAGCTATCCTTGTTACCCGAACAAACGAGCGAGCAAAAGGACATCAATGCCAAGTACTCGTTACCCTCGGTTAGTTTTTATATATATATTTCCTGAAAGGGGTTTTTAATTACAATTTTGAATGTGTTTATCATAGTTGCACTAATAACATTAAAAATTATATATGAAAAATAAATAAAAAAAAAAATAATAAAAATATTCTTCTTTGATTGATTACTTACTTCAAAGGTTCTAAATGAGACAGCACGTCAACTGAGTCAGCCGTTGACTCCAACACCCGCTAATGTTAGCCCGACGGCGAGCCCGCAGCAACGTCAAACAGATACAACGTCATTGGTTTCGTTAAATTTTGTTATGCAGTTTTTGTTTCATGAACTGAAAAATTCGAATCGCGTGAGAAAATGGTTTTATCGCAAACTTTCTTTGGAATTGGACGAATTGATAGCCAAAACAACTACTGGGAAATTGTTTGATAAATTAACAGTAAGTGTATATATGTGAATATATATATATATATATATATATATATAATTAAAAAACAACAACAAATATTGCACACACCCACCTAAGAAAATCTAGGTTAATAATAACAATGTTGTTACAAAAACAATATTATGCTAATATAGGAGACTCGGTTCTACCTTTTACATTATGTCGTATGCTTCCACAAAGAAAATACATGGCTTTGTGTTAAGCTGTCTAATTACGCTACTGTATGTCATCTCCTTTCGTCAACAATACAAAAACTATATATATGTATATGTTCTTCTTCTACGTAAGTGCAATTATCTATTAAGTAGGTACCTAATTAACTGACAAGTAGTTGTTTTCGTTATTGTTGATAATGGTTGGCGTTGCAAAAATTGTGTACAGTGTACAGTGTACAAACAGGTGTTATAAGATTTTTACTCGTTGTCACAGTAGGTTTACGCCGATTAAGTTTACAAATGCTTTCCGCCAACAACTTGCCGCTAACAACAATATAAAAGACGCTGTCTTTAAAAGTGCATAAATAAGAGTTTTCGTTGCTTATTCTACATTTCGAAATATTATAATTATATATTTATTGCAGATTAAAGAACTTGAATTGGGCGATCAATTCCCCGAAATTAAAACCTTAAGGGTTCATAACGTTCAGCTGGATGAAAATGGTGGTAGAATTGAAAATTTGGACCTATTACTTGAGATTCACTATAAAGGTAATTTTCGTACCTCCATCGATGCGGACATGGTACTGGCTAAGAAGGGCTCTTTAACGCTTAAAGGTAAATTTATAAAGTGACATAAGTGACATAAGTGAATTCTTATTTCGTTCATTAGCATCAATATTAAAGATGATGTAAAATCGTTTAGCCAACTTTCGTTATAAAGCATGAATCGGACAAGTTCGCGAGAGAAAAAAAAAAAACATTTTTTCTGTATATAAAAAATAATGTATAAGCAACATTTTTTGTATATCTTATCTGGTAAAAGCGCTTGAAAAACGAATATCTATCCTTAAGTGTTATGACGGCGTACGCCGCATATATATTTCGTATCTATTAATTCCAACAATGTTTGTGTTTCTTTGCTTCCAGTTAAGCAATTATCTGGCTTAGCTCGTTTGCAATTTACGCGTAATCCCTATACACATTGGTCTTTAAGTTTTCTGGGTGATCCCGAATTGGATATTGATGTAGAATCAAAATACCAAGGCAGGCAAATGCAATCCAATATTACAAGTTTAATATCGAATCAAATACGTAAAGCTGTACGCCGCAAGCATACTTTGCCGAATTATAAATTGCGATATAAACCATTTTTCCATAAAACGCCCGACGAAGAGGTCTGTGAGGGAGATATACAACCGAATGGCATGTTGCAGGTAAAAGTATCCGAAATATCAAGATTAATGTGTCCGCCACATTTGAGTGATATTTATTGCACATTAACGATGGCATCATTGGCATTTGTGGAAGCTCATCAAGAGGACGATCGTCACGTAATGGTATCGTTGAATGTCGAGATACATAAGGCTAAAAATCAGCAAATAGGTATAATATTTAAACAAACATCGGCTGAGATTGTGGAAATTGAGGCGGTTTTACCTAATACGCCTGCTTTTAAGTCAAACTTAAAAGTGGGCGACATACTGGTAGCCATCGAAGGTAAACGTGTATCCACTATACAGCAAATTGCCAAAGTTATAAAGGCCATGCAAACTAATGTCTTTAGTTTACGTATTGATCGCGTAATACCCGGAATTATACGTAATGACGCAATACTAGAAGATTTAGATTTATACGAAGATCTGGGCGATATACGGGTAGGGTATACTCATCATCCTGCGAAGTCGAGCGAGACAGAAGTTAATCAAAAAGTTGCTCAAGTTCGTACGAATATCGTGGATAAGGGAACGTCTAGTGAATCCAGTTTAAATAACACACCCACCAGTTCTCCGAAGAAAACTAAATTGATAGCGAAAGCCCTTAAGAAAACTATTAGCCGTGATTATAGTGACCAATCCAAAGATGAGGATAAGGAAAATAAGTTAAAAACTAAATCTCTTGCCAAATTAAGTACTTTAACTAAAAATCCTGCCCGAATTCTGGTCGAAAGCTTCATAAATGCTACGGGGGTCAATGATGTCGAGCATTACTTTCAACACTCAACCATCGATTGCAAATTGTCTCGCATGATCCAGATGGAAGACTTAAGTCAATTTAAATTAGACTCGATCTGTCGCTACTTGAATATATGCGTTTATGGCAAATGCGTGGGAGAAAATCAGTTATTAGGTTTCACAAACGTTCCCGTAAATCAGATATTAATCGAATGTTGTGAGACTAGTTTAAGTCAAAGCTTCAAAGTTTATGAATTAAATCCACCCATACCGCAAGATTTGTAAGCAACGGGCCCTTTATTTAAATTTGAAATTTAAATGCAAGAAGAAATTTTTGCTTTTCAGGAAAAATCATCATTTATCCTCACAATCTGGGTTTAATCCGAATCTATGCTTCGGCGATATACTGTTGGCATTTACATGGGACGGTAATCCGAATATGGCCATCAATTTGGAAACCCCGTCCAAACAATCGGGAAAAATTAAGGCTAAGTAAGATGAAAATCTGTAACTATTTAAATATAAACCGATTTGTAATAATATTTATTGTAGATCTGTAACGTCTTTGGATAAAACGGATGACAGCGGCTATTCGGATAGCATATCTTTAAAATCTATGGATACTTTGTCTGTGCAATCGCGGGCTCATAACTTTGTCCGCACTCATTTTCAACGGGCTACTCAATGTGATTTCTGCGGAAAAAAAATTTGGCTTAAAGATGCTGTTCAATGTCGCGAATGTTTTATGTCATGTCATAAAAAATGCATTAATAAATGTCAAAATGCAACAGTATGCGGCCCGGTTGATTGTTCGTCCGCTTTACAGCAAACACCAGAATTTATGGTTACCGAACCGGAAGCGTCTGAAGCGACCGCAGAATCGGAATTAAACGTGCCCTTGATACAAGAAAATTTGGAGGGTAACGCCACCACATCAGCTGCAACAGGCAATTTAGAGGTACATCGCTCAAGTTTGACCAGCTTTTTAGCACAAGGTATGAAACGTGTCAATTCCGCTAATAATCTGGCCATACCTGGCTTGGTAGCTTCATTAACTGTTGCAAGCTCTGGTGGTAGCGGTGGAACTGGTGGCACTTTAACTCCAGGATCTATAGCTAAAAGTTTACCACCAAGTCCCCAACACTCGCCATCCAGGTAACCTAGAAATTATTAAAATTGATTTAGATGCAATTTCTTATTTATGCGTTCTAGGAGAGCTTCTCTGGTAGCAGCGACCACCTCAAACACATTTGAACTGATTACACAACATTTAGAGGATTTACCTAACAATTCAAACTATTTTACGGCAGATCAGATTAGTGCTATAACTGAACATATTATCGTATTGTCTAAGGAAGAAGATCTTATGAGTTTGGCGAAAAATGCCAGTAAAAATTTGTATCCTAATCTTAAAGGCGCTGAGAGAGTGGAAAAAATTAATATATTGGTAATGAGGAATACAAGGAATATTTTGAATATTTTCGTATTATATTCTTGTTTTTTTTTTTTTTTTATTTTTTTTTTTTGTTAATTTCATCACTCATATCCGCCAGGGATTATACAAAGTAAATATATATCACGAGCGAGATAATATTTGGCAAATTAATTAGTTATGTTCTTCATTAGGAAATGTGGGAAACTACAACTTGGTTAGAAATTTTCATTCGCCCGTTAAGCAGGTGAAATTAGCATGAAACGTCGACAAATGAATCCAGAATAGCTAAGAAACCGTAATCATCTCGCTGTATTAGGCAACGTTCCTTTATTATCCTCACAGTCACTTTGCTACGGTTCATCTTCTATACTATTTTAAATGTTGTTTATAATATGTGCGTCGTTGAAGCGAATATGGTTATTTAATTTGACTCAATGTCTACCAAGCAGATATCGTGATAGAAAATTTGGTTTTTCCGTTAGATCATAGAGTTTGTTCTAAATTTCCTTGGCATTAAGTTATGTAAGATTCGAACGAGTGAACCAGGAATAAAGATGAAATTATATCTATACATGGCGGGCGTAAGCGCCTAGTTAGTAGCGTATAGAAGGATATTACGTAACTCGAACATGTTGATGCAAGTAACTGCGCAAAATATCTTAATGTGAGAATTAAGGTTTGAATAAACTTCGGTTAGACAAGCTCTTACCAGGCAATCCCTATAAATATCTCTATATCCTTACTTTAAGATGTTTAAGCTTTCAAGTCAATTAAATGTTGAGGAAGCCGAATGAACAGTTTGCATTATTTTGTTTAAATATTGAATAGCAATTACTTTCTTGAATGAAATATAACTTGGCAAGTCTCCGCAAGTGTAGGAAGAATGATGAAAGGATAACATACATGTACATTATAAACATACATTGACGGAATCCAATTAAAATCCCACATATATGAATTCCTATAAGAATCCGAAATTAACAAATCAACCAAATTAGGCGATAAATAAATGAATATATATATATATATATATATTCATTTATATATATATATATATATATATATATATATATATATATATATATATAAATTAGTATAAGTCTGAAAAGATAGTCTTTCAGTCTTAAATTCATCATGAATCTGTAATAGATAATGTTGCAAGTTTTTAAATCGAACTTATTTTAATATTTTATTAATTTTCGTATTTTTAATTATAGCTAACCAAACTACGTTTGGTGTTGGACAGCGAAACCGCTTCACATTCTAGTCTAACGACTTCAATAAAGAACGGCAGCCATGAGCACATTATAAGTGAACATTCCTCAATATCAACTAATCAAAGTAACATTTTAGGGAAATCTGAAGAGCGTATACAAGCCTTAAGTGTTATCATGTTATATTTATGTACCGGTTTACAGCATGCTCAAGGCACGCTGGCGGCGCAGTAAAAGGCAAACAAATAAGAAAAAAAAAGTCTGAAATTTCAAAAGTTTTAAGGAATTTTCAAGTAGTCATCTAAGAATTAAAAAAAAGAGGATAGAAAACAAAAAACGTTTAATCAAATTTAAAACTCATACATATAGTATTTACTATTGAATGTTAGAATGTTAAGGAAATTATATGCAAAAAACAAACAAACTAATGGGATATAAATGAGAAATTAATGCACCAAAAATGTATTTAATAATTTTTTTTTTTTTTTTTTCTTTTTCAATTAATTAATTAAATCCTGATATGCTAGTAGAGAGTAATACAAACAAGTTCAATTTGGTGTTACATATAATATAAAAATAAATTTTATTTATCGATATTATAAGGCAAACGTATTTTTAAGTAGGAACTTTGAGAGGAAAGCGATACAGTATTGAGATATTTATTTAATTTTTATTCAATCTTATATTAAAACTTTTTTAAAAGGTTTTAAACTAATTACAACTAATCTTAGAATTTTAATCGTTAAGTAATCCTTTAATAAAAACTACAAAAACAAAAAAAAAAACAAAATATATATATATATATATATAGATTAGTTATTAAAAAGTTTATCAAAGTCAAGCAGTACTTTATCTTTTGCGGGCAACGAGTGCAGAATGTCGACAACTTACTTGGAATCCTCGAAAATCGACGACAGTCGTTGGTTCACCTGAAAGATTCGTAAGAGCATCGAGTAAGAGTCGCGACCTCTGTTCACTTTAGTCGTAGGTACAAAGTGTGTTCAGTTGGTAAAGGCATTGCAACATATCAATTGGGCCGACCTTCACTAGGTTGCGGTCATCGGCTACTTATTTCTCTTTCTTTTTTGCTCTTTCCTCACTTCTTTCCAGTCGTCACCGTGTTATACGATTAGGAGACATCCACTGAATGATTGGTTAAAAAGAAACATATAATATCTATGCCTTTATATATGAGATTTTGTGTAGTATGCGAGATTTCAGAAGCCCCCCCTAAGTACCTACACTTGAGTCTCCCCTTCTTTTAAAACTTGAACATTTCTCAATTAGTATATATCTGTTAAAGGACCAGTCCACAGTGTATGAATAAGGTTAGCGTGTTGTCTAGTGAGAGAGGCACATAGAAGATGAACAATGACATATTCCTAAAAGCATTACGCGCACTTAAAGAGGCCCTCCGACCATCAATATACCATAAGTGTGTTAGAGCTTCGTCTCCCCTATATCACGAGCTCCTCAGTCACTGAACTATATTTCGTAGTAAGCAGTTAGCGGAGAGGACATTATATATTGGAGAAAAAGTTACGTAATTATAGTCGCCGTAGGACGTATTTTTCATTCTTTTCATATCGCTTGTCTGCGATGATTTTTAGCAAAGATTCGATAATAAATTTGAATAAAAAAATTCTCTTTTTTTTTTTTTAAATCGAACGATTAAATATTTTTTGCAGCTTTCGCTTTTCGAAACAGTTGCACAGGGAGGGATGGATGAATGGACGGATGTTTTACTCTCTCAGAAGATCATGTATAACGCTATTGCTTGAGTTCAACTAGCATCTCTCCCGTGTCAGTAGTTGGTGATAGTGTTTTTGTTTGGTATAAAAATCTTTTGATCTTTTAGGAGAAGACGATTAAAGCATATGTTAACGGTTGCTTTTAATAATCTAACCAACTGGCAACCGTATTCTACGTAGCGGGCATACAGTCAAGTATCATTCGTTTTCAGAATTGAAAACCACTTGCCTGGGCGAACAAAAAATTCCAGAAAACTTTTGCTAACTATCAAATGATATTCGCTTTGATGGGTGGTGTTTTCTTTTACATTAGAGCTATCGGTCAAATAATTTTTAAACTATCTGATAGTTGCACGAGCCATCGACTGACGCATTAACATCATTTTCTTCAACGAAAGATTTTCATGAGTTTATTTAAAGTTGTGAATCGCACAATATTGCTCTCAAGGCGAGCACTCTCGTAAATTTTATGGGCTGATGGGTTTTTTATGCCAGTGTGAAATATGTAGAGAAAAATGCATTAAAATAAACTCAATAGACAATGACAGCTAAAATTAAATTAATTTAAACGGAGTACGACGGAAAAAAATGATACATATATTGGGGTAATAGGTATCCAAGAGAAGGAAGATGTTAGTGGTTATACAAAAGATGATAAGTAAGTATTAGAACATTTCCTGATGTCTTTGATCATAAAGAGCGGAAGGATTGCAAAAAATGAATAAGCAAAAGATGATGCTTGAGGCGATTATTGTTTTTCTGTTTTTACATTTATTTAGTAACTTTTTACGTTTTGTTTTCATCAAGCAAACTGACAACAATATATTCTCATGTATGCATTTGCAATTGGTACAAACAATAAGAGAGAGTACACACGATGAGAGAAATCAAAACAAAAAAAAGGAAAAATAATAATAACAATAAAGAAATGCAATTTTATTGAACAAGTCACACAGTACTCAGGAAATATTGCTTTTTTTTTTTTTGTTTTTGTTGGCCAAAAGCCAAATCATATTTACGTTGCATAGCAAGCAAGCGATATGCTTGCTGTACAAAGATGTGTAAAAATACTTACATCTCTCTATATGCGTATGCAATTCAAAAAAAAAAAAGAAAATATATGTCAAATAATTCTTATGTACACCTTCTCGTTTTCTAAGACACCTATGCATGTTAGTATTAAGTGCAGACTATGCAACCTATGCCTCTTATCTGTGATATGTGCATTTCCGTCAGCGTAAACAATCCCGCCGATTCAGTCAAGTCGATTTGACCGTTTATTCTTCTTCTGTTCGCGTATGTTGAACTGATATTTCGAAACATTCAGATGAGTTCAGAGTGTCAAGCGCAATCCTTTCTACAAATACTGACTCATACTTACTTTCCTAGAATTATGAAGATTCCATTTCTTTGTTACAATTTAACATATGCATGCTATTTTTCCTCTAAGTCATGGGGCAATTATAGCCGGCTTTTATACCCACGACCAAAAGATGACGGGTACATTTATTTTGTCAAAACGTTTGGAACGCCCAGAAGGAAGCTTAAGAAATCCCGCAATATATTCGCATTTTGAATCAGCATCAAATTCCGAATCGGTTTAAGCATGCATATCTGCCCGATTGCCCCTCTGCATAATGTCCGTTGTAAACAATCCCTCGACCGCACAAAAGGAAACTATCAAATTCAAATTTAGCAGAATCATTGGGAGCTCTTGCGCGTGACTTCGTATTGAAAATGGGACAAATCGACGGAAGGACACGACCACAAGGTCAAGTAAACTAAGAAAACTTTTGGTTTTCAAAAGGAATCAAAACTACACCATTTATGTCTACATATCGTTCAATCGTGAATTCTATGCCTTTACAAAAAATTGACCATGCCTACTCAATTTTGTGGTGTGTCATAATTTCATATTTTTTCAAAACCCTTTATATAACGCACGAAAGCAGGCTTCAGTCATCTCATAAAGTATATAAGATCTTCGCCAATTTTAAATTCGGAATGCACCTAAACATGTCCGTCCGTTCATCTGTCCCTCTGTCCATCTGTGCAACTGTAGTGAACTTGCAAAGGTATTTGAAAATTACGCAAACTTTTGGAGAAGCCTACAACGCCCACACCTCTATATAATAAAAAGTATTCACACAAAGCTATTTACACAAAGGTATTCACCTCTGCTCTTCGTAGTTTTTGCGTGTTACTCATAAGGTATGACACATACATCACATAAATTGCCACTTTTATTCCCAATACTATAGAGTATGAAAATTTTGGTCATTTCGTATTTTTTAGGATCACGGCTATGAGTACATACAAGATTTGGTCATCACCGAATATTATTTTCTTAATTGTTACATATATATACGAATTTTTATTTTTTAATTTTTTATAATTTTTTTTTTTTCATTTCTATTAGGCGGCTGTATATATATATATACATATATATATATGTGTGCGTATGTTTATGGAAGGCTTACAGGTATTTACAAGCTAGGTTTGTTTTTTGGTTCACTCAAGAACTGCCACCTACTGTCCACGTAACACGGTGAAGGTCAGAAAGTAGCAAGGAAAGAGAAGGAAATAGGGAGATGATGGCCGCATTCTGATGGATGAGAGACTTTCCGCGCTAATAACTCACTACTGTACTTGCGACTAAAGGCAGCTCAGCCCTTCGAAGACTGATTTGATAGTCGCAATTCTTACGTACACGGCTTCTCATGCAATCGGATCTGATCGTGAGCTAAAAACCTATATATCAAATTCTTTCTTTGAAGAGGATATGAAGAGTTCGCAAATCAATTTTGTGTCTTATGCAATTTAAAAATTGGTTTTTGAGTCTTCTACGGTACATATATACGTATACAAATATATTTTTCACCATATATAGCGCACAGATATTAACACTAAGATCAAATCGCTAGTTATCCAAGGTCTCGATCGCAGAATATATCCTTACTAATTTAAAATGAATAAAAACTACGCTAAGACTGTTTGCAAGTAATGTGTGAAATTATAAAATTGATTGATTTGAATGGCCTTAGAATTAGTTGCTCACTGAAGCGACACGTAGCGCACGCAAGCAAACAATTGGTACGGTATGCACTTTACTCTTTTAATGCAAGCCATGATGGCGGCTTTTGAGTTACTTAAATGACTTTTAAGGTTACTAAAGTTTCCTTCACTTCGCCATAGAGTGGTATAAATTTATTTCAAAAGTGCTTTCAATTCAGTTATTGAAAGGATACGTGCTTAGGATACAACTGCCATTTCTGATTCTACGTTTTCGTCCTATGGTTAGGTTCACACGAATGAATTGTGCTTTTATTTAGAATTCTTAGCTGATCTATTTGAATGAACTTATGTTGGCAATGCTTCCTCTGGACTCGTTCGTTTGAATATTACGAGTTAATTTTCTCGACTTGATTGACTTTACCGTTCGCTTTTACAAGAACATTACCAATAACAAACTTTCATTTCATTGTGACAGTTCCGTGCTAATCCCTTTTTATCTGTGAAATGTTTCCCGAATGGTTGTTAATCCTTTCGCCGCCAGTCGTCAGCTGCGTCGGCGGTAGGCATGAAACGACTTTGGTTTTGTCATTTTAAGAATTTTATATCTTGCAAACTCATTCTCATATCAAATCTGAGGAAATTTCATAACATAAACAATATGATCTACAATAGATCGGGATATAAATTGCAAAAGGGTATCCTAGAAATGTTCATATAACTAATGCATGAATTTTAAACGAAATCTACTTTGATTTCGTTTATTGCAACTTCGAAAATGCATGAGCTCAGGGTCGTCACGTTTCAAGTTGATGAAAAGAAGAAAGAAGCGATTTGAAAATTGTACTATGGCCTTAAAGTGCGATGCAAATATGGATCACAGGTCCTTGAAATTACAAAAAAAAAAAAAATTCCTTTTCTCTCAATCAGCGAGTGATTCATTGAGTGATTTTATCGCAACTATACCTCGCGATGTCCATGATG